CTTGTGGAAATGAAAAGAAAGAGAGAAAAAGTTATTTAAATATTTTTCAAGTGTTTCCTTTCATTTTTTTAAAATAGGTGGAAAATAAGGAAAGAGATAAGTTTGAAACTTTTCCACTTATAGTCATATTTTATATATAAAAGAAAATAATTTACTCAGTTGACTAAGTATCCTTTATAAATAGAAAAATTGATTATTAGTCATAGCGTTCTTACTTCTAATATCGTTCGCGAATATTCTTCTACCCAATAACATTTAAAAGAGTAAATCTTTAGAAACATATTTATTTAGCTTTAACCGATTACTTTTGGCTAACTTAATCGTCCCTTTCGCTTATTCGGGGTTGATAAGGCGATTTGTAGAGTATGCTAATAGAAGAGGGGGAGTTGTAGGCCTATGATAGTTTTTTTTCGGTGGATATGTTAAGTTCATCTAGTTATTTTTTATCGATTGAAGATTTCTTTCTGGTTAAAAAATCACGGGCGAAGGAAAGAGCTTAAATCCAAAAAGAAATAAAGCCGATAGAGCCGATAGTTTATATATTTATACCAGTTAAGATGTTATATAAATATCGGAATATCTTAGATATTTATGATTTAAATTAGAGAGAATTTATTAAAAACTGATTCCGATGAATTAATTATATAACAATCTAAAAATTCTCATACTTAAACAAAAGATAGATATATTTATATAAATATACAAGAAGAGAGAGAGACAGAAGAGAGAGAGAGAGAGAGAGAGAGAGAGAGAAACACAAAGGGATATACGCTGGGAGGGAATATATACGAAATATATAAACGCGTGTATATTCGTGGGTTGGTAGATAGAGTAATAAAAGAAAATGTTTCTTCAATACACCTAGGCAGAAGAATGGTAAATTTAGTATAAAATATATAAATAATATGAATAACACTTTTGAGCTCTTTTCCTATTGCCTGTACACGGAAATATATGTACATTTTATATTATAAGTAACGCCGCTTTGGCCTGTAAAAAAGAGCTTAATTTGCATATGAAAAGAGCGATACGTATTGAATGGAAGTGCGGCGTGTGTCGAACAGCCAATCAGCGTACACCGACGCCATTGTATGCGCACATTCAACGTCCGGCGTTCAATCGGTTTGAACGCGTATTTTACCTCTTCGGATTTTATCCGACCTGATATTTTATATTGATCATGGTCGATATTGGTGCGATGCGATTAAACAGAAACATGGCTTTCGAAACAAATACTGACGGTTTCCAACTTCACCCAAGACAGGTTTGTTTTTATTCGTATAAAATGGGATAAGGAGATGTAAATGGAGTCGTCCATAGGCCTTTATGTCGCCCGCATTTATTTTATGAGTGACGCCATCATTCCTCTTTGTTAGTGTTAAAAAGCAGGGATGAAAACAGTGCGGGTTTGTCTCCACAGCCTCCCACTACGATTATAAACAAGAATTCTCCCTCTATTTAGAAAGTAGGGGAACTTTTTGCGAAGGGAACAAAGGCGGCGGCACGCGCACTGCTCGCTTTTGACTGAGTTTCAAATACGCTGGGCCTAAGTTTTTTAACATCGATTTTTCAATAATCTTTTGTGAAAACGACTTTTTTTTTTATTTAATTTCTGGCCTAGCAGTTTTTCAAACAAATTTGAACACGGGTCACGTGATCGTCGCGTGCCTAGAGCGTGTCGCGGTTTTTTTTTGTTTGAAAAAGGAAGCATTTTGGTCTTGTAATGTTCGAGAATCTTTTTATCGGATTTCCCGCTAAAATATCGATTCCTGAGACTTCTAAACTCTTGAACGGGAAACTTAAAAGTAGAACGAATTCTTCCCCTTCGCTTCAATAATGGAAGGGAATCGAGGTGCCAGATGGCGAGGGTTACGCAACGATTGTTTACGGCTCGAGTATCGGGTGGTTGATGGAAAAAAATATAGGAAAATTGTTCGATGCTTTAGGGTGTTCTAGTCACAATTCTCTTTTGGCCCTTTCCTCTTTCGAAATTGACACGAATTAAAAACGTTTGGATCGGAACCGGAAATACTTTGTCTGTCTAGACTTGGGTTATTACCTGTAAAAAGTGGGTTAGAGAGTGAGATGCAGCCCAATTTGGCCCCTTTTTCACCTTCTAACCAACAGATATTTTTGAAGAAGTTATGCCGTCTATATTTTGTCTTTTGTTTCACCTAATACCTCCTAGGGGGTATTCTTTGATTATATTTCGAGAACGTTGGTAATATGAGATCATAATTACTCTTTGAGCGGAACAGGAAACATTTGTCTCCGAATCAGCATATTTCCTCTACATACCAATTTATTAAGCGTCACATTTTTTATAGAAACTTTTAAAAGTAGTCCGCATACATTGGGGCTATTATTTTTAAAACTTTAAATGCATTTTCTAAATACCTCTGACCGATTTCTTTCCTCTTTTTTTTTACCCTTAATTTTCTCCCCCTTTTATCCATCTATTTCGTAATTCCATTTAAGAAAAAATGTATTAAATATTACAACAGGAAACGCTCTATAAGTAAGGTAAATAAGCAAACATTCCACTTTAATGTTGTTTCAATACTATTATACATATTTCTTTTATAACGAGCGTCCCCCGTTACTTTCGTACTTTTGTTAAAGGACCGCCCGCTTGCATATTCTTAGAATTTATTATAAATAATTATAAAGCGAGAATTTTGTAACAAAGCGATTTGTTCAGTTGAAAGAATTATACAATTTGTTACCTGTGAATTTAATTATGAAACGAATTGATTAAACCATATCGGAGCGCGACCAATTGCTTATCAGTTAAAGCGTACTAGTACAGGACTCTGAGGTGGAATACAAGATTGTTTTCATATGTAGATAATCTTTTCGCCTCCTTTCTCAAAAAATCACTTAATTTTCTTATAAGCCGGAAACGGAAGCATTCGGTGTAAACTATTCCTTTACACCAAGAATAAAATGGCTTAAATAGTCATATTCCCTCGTTATTTTTCTTTTTTTGATAGCTAATTAAAAACACGCAAGAACTATATTTAAGCCCCGCCTATTTAGACGCCTGTTTATCAATACCGACACAGCGGACGCCTATTAGCCGGTTATATTTTTTCATAATGTAAAGACGGTTAGAAAAAAAGCGTTGGTGCAGTAGGATGGATCAGATTTCGTCCGACAGCGCCACTGGGCGGCTAAATAACGAAAATCCCCCATCTTTTTTATACCATTCGGTGCGTGTAGCGTGTACTGAGAGGAAGCAGCGTCTACGAGAAACTTCTCTTAACAGCTGTTTTTTATTAGACTTCTGTTGATATCTGATTTTTGTTGTCCAGCTGTTTCTGTTATGCGGATATAACTAGTCATGTTCTACTATCCGGCTAGGCAACGTTATTGTTCCACTCAGGTTTGTTATGCTTTCTTCCTCGAAATACATTCTACCATTCCAGGTGGCGCTGGTTGTTTACGTTAAATGCAATATTTTTTAGCTTAAAAATATTAGATGCACTTTTGAAAATCTTGTTTGAGGTCTTGGTCAGGTGCACTTTTTTTAAACGGCCACCTGTCATTGTTTACTGTAACGTCTCATCAGCTTGTAGGTTTACTTAGGCGATAAGTTGGATCAATATTTGAGAATTTGAAAACTGAATAAAAGAAAAAAAGAGGATCTCGTATAGAGTTCAAACTTGTTAATGGACCTATCTAAATAAGAAAACAAGACCTAGTTTATACGATTCAAAAAACGAGAAAGGTTACTCGTAAAAAACAATTGCATTACATCAATCTTATTTTTGAACAAAGTTTCTTTGTTAGAGAAATAGAAAGAAAATAGGAGAGAGAGAGAGAATGAATGAATGAAGGGGTAAACTAGAAAGCGGGCGAACTAAAAAATCATCCAAGTACTGAGTCGAGTTATCAGTTAAAAATTTATGACTATTAAAGGGCATGAAATAATTGTTGACTAGTATTGTTATTGTTCTCTTAATTATTTGAATTATTTATGAAAATAGTACAGGAAGATAGGGTTGTAATATCTATTATCAATTCTATATTCTAGCTTATTTTCTTTCTCATTCCCCTCTGTCTTGTCTAGATTTCTTTCTTCACCCTCTTCTCTTGTTTTATAACTAATACCTTTCGATTTGAACGGCCTACTGGCGAATCTTTTTTTGTTTTAAAAAAACAAGGAGAAGCTCTTCGGCAAAAAAACCCCGGCAATTAGGCGGAGTAAAAGAAAATACGGTTAAAATCGCGCGTAAAGTTCATCGGGTATCTAGAGGCTACGTATGACCTATTGCCAACAAACTCCTGCGCTCTTTCTCTCGCTCTCTTCAAGTTAAACTTTTCTCCTATCTACCTTTTTATGATCTTAATATACTAGTTAAAGTGGAGCAGATGGCCCATCTTATCAGCGGGAGACTTTGTCTAGGTTGATAAGAATTTGACGCGACGTCCGGACACGCGGAACGTCTAGTCGGGTAACCGAAAACGATTAATTAAACGGAAGGAAGTCGCTTTGTAATCGTATAGCTAGGGTTGTTTGTCTTCGCAACTGGAGAAGGGCGGCCCGAAACTTAGGTGTCAATAGATCGTGGAAAAGTACAGTTGGAAAGTTTTTAAAAGTATAAAATCTAAAGGTTGACTAGAGTTTGTACTAATAGGCTCTTTCATCATACTATGTAATTAAATATAAAAAAAAGTGAGCCGTGAAGAGTCCTAAGATAAGGATAAGAAATGTAGCAACGTTAAGGGCAATAATGCCGTCATCGGTTCGCCCTTTTCTAAATCAGGAATGCACCTCTTTGTCGGTAGTCATGATGGTTGTAGGGTTATAGCGATAAAATTCTCCGGTGTCAATAGATCGTGGAAAAAGGCGTAGTAGGGAAACGTAATTCGTTAAAAATGTTGTAGTAATGGCACGATAAGCGATAAGATGGAAACATTTATACGCGAACCGCTACATCAAAGAAGATCTTAATGACCGAGATCTGTAACGTAGCTAGAGATTTGATGCGTTCCAGATCGGCAGTCGGTGATTGATCGAGGTTGGGATTGAATGTTTTCCTCATTCTTATAAGTCTTACGTATTCTTATTTAATTCACCTTTACTACATTATTTCCTTTGATGAGAAAATATGTCGGGATGGTTTGGAACTTATGCCGCATATAAAGAATTAAACTCTTCGCTGCCCCCTTCAACTTTTTAATTCTTTCCTCTCCGACCATTTCAGTTGTATTCAAAGCACATTGAAAATTGTTTCTTTCTTTCATTCGCGAACGACCCTTAGGGAGGATTAGAGGGGATTAAAATGTTTTAAATAAGATCTCTCTGTATGAAATATGATAATTAAATAAATACAGTTGAACAATTTTTTTTAAAGATATAATGCTTCTCCTATTCATCTTTTCCTTCTATTTTTTAAGCAGGTCTATCCAAATACGGACGACTTCAATCGTGACTCTTCTCAATACGTCCCAGGAAAAAGTTTGTACGCCGAACCATACTATGCAGGCGCCGAAGCTTGGATGGGGAATAACAATATTCCTAGTACTTCTTACTCTTCGATGCTACCTACTCCTCCTGTTCAATATAGTGCACAATCGGGATACAGTACAGACGGATTGGTAAGTCATCTCTAGAGGTTTTATGCGGCAGATGTTGATAAAAGCGTTTTTATCAAGTCTAAACTACCGATTTACGTGACTCGGTTCAATTTTTGTAGATTTTTATAACGACGCCTGAAGTTTTTTTTATCGCAAAGAGCGTTTAAAATTGATCAAACGTAGATTAAACGAAATATATTCATATATACAACGTGTATGTATAGATGTTTATACATATCTTTATGTACACGTGTATGTCATTTATAATATACATGTATGTGTAATAGATTTCACTTTTATCCATACATCAAAAACTTAACGTAGCTTAAAGCAATAAATTTTAGAGAATAAATCTATTACAAATGCTTTAACGGGGTTACTTAACTACGTTTATAAAAAAGAAAAGCGAAATGTACGTGACTCATACACTGTCTAAAAGATTTCAACAGCATGTAAAACCCGATAGCCGAATGATTGGAGTGGTGAAACGGCGTTTTTTATTACTTAAACTGATACGAACCGTTGAAATATTCTATTATTTATTTATTTATTTTTTAACAGAGTTATGCTGCTAGCGGTTTACCACCAATGAATTCATTCGCCAATACCCAAGTTCCTTATGGAAATTCATCACCGAACGGGGTTGTCCCAAGTTCACAATCAGGGGATACTCTTGGTATTGGAAAAGCTTTAGGAACTGTAAGTTGTTAAATTATCTTTTAATTTGTATAGAATAACGACAAGGGATACTCGTTGCGTATATCATAGCGGAAAATTTTATAAAATAAAGATAAAAGACCGTTTAGTATTGCTAATAGAACACCATTTTCTATTTTTCCTAGTACGGCCCTTTGTAAAGTATGCCGTGAAAAGGAATTTCTGCAATGTTTTTCTAATATTTAATTTCGTTCTGCTATTGAAATCTATCTATGAAAGACTAAAAAGAGGAAAGGGAGTGCGAGCTAGTTTCTTGCTCTTCCTCGTTTTCTTTCTCTATCATTTTAAGAAATTGATTAAAATAATACCTTTTCTTATCCTTAGATATATAATCCTGCTGGGGACCAGCCGTCAAATCCCGTATCGTCTCCACCTCCGCTTACCGGTTCGATGTCTTCCTTACATACACTGGTAAGTTAAGTTATCTAGTAGTAAAATAGTTAAACCTAATACAAAACGCACGAAAACGAAACTAATCGTCCAACAGAGTTTATTTATTTTGAAAGTCGACTCTCTTACCTTTTTTCTTTTTTCTTGGTTTTATAAAAAAAATTGGCCGAAACTAGATATTGTACTAACTGTAATAATTTTTAATATATCCAGACATCTTTTTTTATTATTCTTTTTATTTATTACCATTTTTATTATTTTAATCGTATTATGCATGAACTTTCTGATTGATTAACGTACTGACCCCTTGTAAAACAAACAAAATAGCAAAATCCAATTGAAGATCGATTAGACGACGCTTTCGAGACGCTACGCGATCATTCGCAGGTAATATCCTCTATCTCTCTATCTATCTCTTTTCTCCCTTCTTCTTTCGCTCTTTCTCTCTTTCTCCCTCTCTCTCTCCTTATCTCATGAGGCGGAAGGATTTTTTATTTCTAATTTAGTAACTGCTTTAGACATTTTACAATGGTTTATAGTTTTTGTTGCATAGAAACAATTGAAAGAAAATTAATTTTATCGGCTTTGTTTGTATTGTTTATTAGTTGCATGCCAGATCTTAGTAATTCTTATTAATCTCTTGATTAAAGATATATATATATATATATATATATATATATACATTTATATTATATGCAAAGAAAACCATTATAATTAAAATATATTCTTAATTTATTGAAATTCGTAAGAATGCCATTGAATAAACACATGTATTTCTATTCTACAGCAAAGTAGATTCGAAGAACGCCTAGACGACGCCATTCACGTTTTAAGAAGTCATGCTTCTGATCCGAATAGCATGCAGGCTGGTGCTATGACTACAATGCCCGCTTTGCTACATCATGGAGCTGGTCCACCGGGCTACCCTCCAGGAGCACTTCCATCACATATGGACATGGTAAGAAATCATTATCCAGTTTCCTAATTAATGAATTAGACACGTTCGTGAAAAGTAACTAATCAATGTCTTAAGTTGAGAAAAGTGACACGAATTTATTTTTCTTCTCTCCAAACTGGTCCCCTCATTAATTAACGTCCGCCAAAAAGCGTAAAACTCACGAACAACGCAGAATGGCGCCGATTCGCCTTGTTTTTCCAAACGAAATTCGAACTGGCGATGAGTTTGCGAAGCGCGAAAAAGCGTTTTCGCAGACTATTTGTTTTTGTCGGGTGAGATTAATGCCCGGGCGTTTGTTTTTTGTTTATTTATATCGCCATTCGTCAGAGATATAATACGCCGAACCTTTTCTATAAGCCTTAGGTTTATTTTTTATTTCTCCTCTTCAACTTCAATCTTTTTTTTTATTCCTTTTTCCTATTTTATTTAACTTTTTACTCTTTTCTTATTCGACTTAGATTTATTACTCTTTTAATTTATAATTCATAATAAATGAATAGTTTATTGAACAAAGGTCTTGAACTATTGACATTGTAACAATTCAAGCGCTATCTTTCAATCAGCCTTCTTTAGGCTTAATGCTATTAGCAACCCTTGTATTTCTATTGTTGGACATCTGTTTCTATACTTTAAAGAGCATGCCGACTTATAAAGAAAACTTTGTTTCAGGCTGGAGGACACCTTTTACAAAACGATCATGATCGAAACTATCCAGGAATGCGGCCATCCTCTGTAATGACGGAAGTATCCAGCGTGGATTCGGAAACTTCCAGGAAAGATATGTCGGACATTAAGCATGAGGAAAACGGTTCTAGATCCAACAGAGCTGTTGTTAAAGAAGCCGTTGCTAAGGCGACAGCAGCTTCCGCTTCTGCTGGGCCAACCTGTGCTAAAAGAGCTAGGAGGAGTGAAACTGAACGATCTTGCGAACTCGGTTAGTATTTAAAAAAACAACATTTTTAAAATTTTTTAGTTGAGTACTGCGTTACTTTGAATATACCCCTACGGCGTCGACCATTTACCTCTTTTTTATGTGCTTGGCTACTTTATCAAGAAGCGTTTTTTTCCCTCTTTTCCTTTTTTTGCTCTCCTTTTGAAGGGAATCAGAGGAAAAAATAGAGAAACAGATTTGAGTTCTATTCAAAAGTAGTTGAGGCGTTCCCTTTTTATCCTTCAAACGACCGTTGCCGCAATATTTCCCACCCCTTTAAGCTATTAAGAGACGCCGCGCCATATTCTCGATTTTCGATACAAAAAAAGATACAAATCTCTTTCACTCTTTGTATTACCTTATCGTTAATCATCTCATTTTCTAATTTACCTCTTAGTTAGTTACTTATATGTATTTTAATGTATGAAAAAAACATGTTCATCATTATTACACTACATTCTATTAATACTTCTTATCTCAACACAGATAACTCTTTTACAGATAATTCGGATGATCCACCCGAAGTAAAAGCTGAAAGAGAAAGAGTACGACGACAGGCAAACAATCAACGAGAACGTTTGAGAGTTAGGGATATAAACGAAGCGTTTAAAGAATTAGGTCATATGGTGACTCTACATACTTCTACCGGTCAACCGTTAACCAAGTTGATGGTTCTCCAACAAGCGGTTAACGTGATAACGACACTTGAACAGCAAGTGAGGGGTAAGGTTTAACTTTCTAGTTATTCGATATGCTTTGTAGCTTTCTATTAAAGCGCCTGTCAATAGGTATTAACGGCTTAAAGGTCACAGATTATCGCCAGATACAAAATAGCGTTAAAGATTTACTTTCTTCTTCACTTTTCTTATCTTAAAATGGGCGAGAATAAGTGTGGAAAAGATGCGTGGTGGGAGGGGATGTTAGCGTGTAGGGAGGCTAGAGAAAAAAGGGAAACGCGCGTGGGACAGAGGTAGGGGGTAAACGGGTAAACGGGTAAGAAAGTGACCAGACATCTTTTTAAGTTGGAAGCGGAAAGATTTTCTTTTTTCTCTTTAATGATAACAAAACGATCATCTAAATTCCCAAGGCTATACATTTAAAAGAAATAAAAAAAAAATCCCCCGCTTGTAAAAGATGAACTAATTAAAAAGATAAAGAATATATAAACTAGAAGCTTGATGTAAGAATATTTGAAAAGTTGTTCTATTAAGAATTATATCTTGACCTTTCCATTTGCATTTCTGTATTCGTCAAGAGAACTTGAAAAAGGTCGTAAAAGCATAAATTTCTCAATTAAAATGTAAAATATTTCGTTGAATTGTTATATCATGATATTTCTTACTAGGATAGATTATTTTTCTAATGTAATGATGAGTCAAATAACTTAACAGGCTCGCCTGTAAACAATTTTATATTAGAAATATGATAGCTGAATAGTCGAAGGTGTTTCTAGCTGACCTTTTTATCGTTCCTATTCATCGGCTTTCTTTCGGCAACTTTCAAATGTTATTATCGTTAAACTCTTCCTCTCTTTCTTTTTCTTTCCTCTCCTCATTTTAATATTTTACTTATATTTTCATTTGCTCCTCCCTTTACAGAAAGAAATTTAAACCCGAAAGCAGCCTGCCTAAAACGAAGAGAAGAAGAAAAAACTGACGAATTGCCTGGAGGGCCTACATTACGGCCCGATGAGCTAATCCAACCGCATTTATCCAGTGAGTTTTAAACATATCCAAATAATTTTCTTTTGGGGTGCCGGGCATGGTTTTTCTATTAGAAATTTCCACTTCCGGTACAGTTTAAAATCATTTTAAAGACTCTATTTATATATATGTGTATATGTTATAAAAAAAAAACAATTCTTGCATGTATGCCAAATTTTTCTATGTCACAAATTTATTGGGGTACAAGGTTTTCTTTCTTATTTTACGCTTTCTTTTCGTGTGTTGCGGTGGCAGTTGTCGTTGTTTACTGTTGGATAAGGAGATTTATTCAAATTTTTTCCAAAGGGTATTAAATAGATCTTTCATCAGAAAGAAAGATGTCTGGTTTGGGAAAGCTTTACCCGCTTTTTTTTCTTTTGAGGTGGATGAGAAAAAAACAAAGCGATTTCTATATAGTTTTATCATTTTATATATAAATATATTGTTGTTTTTAAAAAAAAAAAACCTAATTTTTAATGCAACAATGGAAAAAAAATTAATTATCATATTCAATAATCTTTTCTATATTGAATTTAAATACGCAATTAATCATTTTATTATGAAAACTATATTAAATCGATAAAACATTGCATAGAAACCTATTAAATAAATCTAAAAAGTATAGCTTTTATACTTTTTTTATGTATGAATATAAAATATATGTATATATCTATACATATATATTTTATTTATACATGTATACATTTAGTTCATGTAGTTGAACGTAAAGAGAAGTGACAACTGCCTCGCGCGTAAAAGAAACTTAAAAAGGGATATTTTGTATATATATATATAAAAATTGAATAAAGAATGATAAAAATACATACATTTGTGACATAAGAAAGAAAAGGGCATGCGTTAATTATCAATAAACGATTATTAAGAACGTATCTACCCTTTTTTCTTAACAGATACATCACAGCAACAAACGCAACGATTGTAAAAATCAAAACAAAAAACACACAAAAAATAGATATATATGTATATATATATATATATATATATAAACTGTATATGTATATATATATATATATATATTTATTTAGACATACCTAATATATCTGTTACATATATGTATAATATACATGTGTAGACGTATATATATATATATATTGAAAAGTATATATATGTGTGTATATGCATTTACATCGTCTATATTTATATAGATAGATATTCATATCTGTATATATGTGTATTTGCATATATATTTCATATACATATATGTATATACTTAACTATATATACATATGTATGTATTATATGTATAAATATGTAATAACTCTAGAGAGACAATTTGCTCAGCTATTGCCAAAACAAGAGAGTTCGTTCGTCACTTCTCTTACGTGCTTCTGTTTTGAGTTCTGTAAAAAAAAAACACATATAAACATAAAGAAAAACGAACAATTTTTGACTATTGCGTTAGCCGGACGACGCGGGCGCCGTCCAGGAACGACAACGGCTGGAAGGGTTTCTCCACGACCGCAATATACGTTCGAATTGGTCGCCGAACAACAGCAACAACAGCAAATGCAATACGGAGCTATGTACGAAACTCCTTTTGTCCAGGAGATGTTCGTTCCTGTTAGTTCTAGTATGCCTCATCCAATTCTGATACAGGAAGAGCAGAATATAGAGGATGTTGTTCCGGAAGATGACCCCGCTGTTGAAGTTCGACCGGCATTATCGGCTACGCCAACGCTTCGTGAAGAAGAAGACGGCGACTGATTGTTTTAGATCTCGTTCCGTTTCTTCTTGTTTTTCTCTATATTTTTATATATATATATGTATGTGTGTGTATATATATATATATATGTAAATGTATATCTCCCTATTCTCTTTCTCTCTCTCTCTCTCTCTCTCCTCTCTTAATTTTTCTTCACCGGAAAAAAAGTTTTTTGTTTTATTTGTTTTTTTTTGCAAAATCTTTTCTTTCCTATTATGTATAAGGAACGCCAAAGACGGTTTTTTTTTATTTAATTATTTATTCGTTAAATTATTATATATATATATATATTTATATATTTATATATATATATATATATATTATATGTTTAAAGAAAAAAACCTGAAAAAAAATATTAATTCTTCATAAAGAGAAAAAAAGCGTTAAAGACTTTTGAAAAATTGAGCGTTCATGCATAATAATTAGGACTTAGAGTTGAATTCTGGCCAATTAGTTTTTTAACTGTTTATTTATGTATACTCGAACTGATAAAAAAAAAATTCATTTGTAAATAATCACGAATGTTCCGTTTATACTTTTTGATATGTTTTTTTTTGCCGATCTGAATGACGTGTTCCGTACAGAAAGAAAATATATACATTTGATTCTTTCGTAATTGAATATTCAAGTGTATACAATTTTGTATATAAGTATATTCATCTATAAATATATACATAAATGTAAGAGTATATATATATATATATATATATATATATATATTACTGTATAGAAATTACTGCTTTGTTGCATATTATTATGATATAAAAATGTTAATTTGTCACTGCCTGGTTTCAAAAATAGAATATCATTTTTGTTTTTCGTGCCAAAATCTGTTATATCACGTTGGATTGGCTATGAGTGTTTTTCATTTTTTTTCTATATGGTAATTAGGGTTTTAAAAAAAAATACAGATAAATATACCCTTAAAAGTTTGCTTTTCTTTTCTACCTTTACATTTATGTCCACCTTATAACTTTTAATTTTCTGCCTCTTGTGAATATTTTTATTCTTTTTTGTAAAATAATTCTCTTTCCTTATCCCACCTTCTCTCTTCGCTCTCATTCTCTCTTTCTCTCTTTTGAGTAACGTTAACAAAAAGGGAAATACTTGAAAAATTATAAAATAAGTTAGTAGACAAATAAAAAAGAAAAAGTGTATAAATTTTCACTTTTTTAGACTAACTGCCTTGCTCAATAATAAGAACAGATGAAGTGTTGATTTTTCGAATTTTCAATGGAATCTTATTACTTTCATAGTGAAGAGTGAATGTCTTACAACTCGAAGAGGTTTTTTCTTTTAACTTTTAAAATATTATTTCAAAGAGAGTGGTTCCTTTTTTTAATAAGCTCGTTGAAACACTTCACGTGTCCTCATGGAATAAAGCTGCTTTCTTCTTAAGTTTTTAAGGCAATAAATGTGATTATGTGTGTGTTTATATATGTAAGCTTTCGAGAGCAACAAGTGCTGACATCTTTCATCTAAAAAATATCTCTTTTATCTATATAAAAGTAAAGAATTCAACGCGAAACGTTTCTGATTTATTGCCCCATTTCACCTTTCTAGAACGTATATAAATCTAAAAGTAAAGATAGAGAGGTGATGGAGAGGAAGAGAGAGAGAGAGATAGAGGAAAGAAAAGGGTCAAATTAGGAAAAGGGGATGCTTACAAGGAGTGAATTAAATATTGAAACCATTTTCAATTTTAATCGATGTCTGCCTAAAAATTTGAACATAAAATTCACTCAGTTATATTGATACTCTTAACAGGTGCTACCGGCTTAACTCTTTCCTTTATACAAATATGAATAACTCATAGTTGATCGCCTATATTGATTGTTTCTTTACAAAATATTCTCTTATTTCTAGACATAAAAAATAAATAAAAAAAAGAAAATAAATTACTTTCAAATATCATTTTTCTACCTTTTCATTTAACATTTTTTTTTATAGAAAAATCCATATTAAATGCTTTTACAATATTTCTTATTTTCTTTTAAATAGCAAAGAAAGAGAGTAAAGAAATATCCTCTGCTAATAGAAAACTAGATCTTGAACAAGTCGCTCATTTTCTATTATAAAATAAGAGTAGTGCTTTTCCCTTTTTGAAAAGGCAGTTAAAAAGACCGGTTCAGCTTCTTGTAAGCTTTTTATAGATGCACTGAAATGGAACTTTGTATAAATAAATTTGTTTCTATTCATATCAAACTGTATACAATAGAAAGGAGTAATAGGCCTATTAAATTTAGACTGTCCTCTCCCTTCCTACTTATTTACGGACAGAGCATTTCTAATGAAATCATAAGATGAAGACTGAAGACGAATTAAGCATTCCACTGACTCCTGAAAGCCAGCGATCAAATTATTCATCCATTGATCAGGATTTAGACAAGAAATCAAACAAAGATGTCGATAAGAAGAATAAAGAGTTATCCATTTCCTTTAGTCAACTATTTAATTATGCCGATTTTTGGGATATTATCTTGATTGTATTCTCTTCTTTGTTAGCTTGTTTGCATGGAATATCGATTCCTATTCTTGTTAAAAAAATAGGCGAAGTTGTCGAGGATTTCGTACAGCAGACGAACGAAAGTGAAATTCGTAAGGAATCAAAACAGATAGCCGCTCTTGGATTTGGAGTCTTTATTGTCAGTTTTCTACAACTGGTAGGCTGGAAAATATCCTCTCAGAGGCAAAGTTATAAAATTAGAGAAGCTTTATTTAAAAGAGTGCTACAAAGAGAGATTAGTTGGTTTCAGCCTGCAAATTTAAAAACAGCAGAAGGTTTAATGTCGAAGACTCTAAGTTCCTTCGAAAGAGGTATGGGTGATAATCTAGGTTTAGTTATTCATTGGTGTATCACCTTTGGAGTTGCTTTGGTTATTTCATTCACTCTCAATTGGAAGTTAGCCATAGTTCTATTTGCCGCAAGCTTTGTCATTGCCTTCATTAGTTTCTTAAATAAGGTGATATGGTGTAAACTCTCTTTACGGGAGAGTGAATGCTACAGTCAAGCTGATGATGTTGTGCAACAAGCCCTAGATAACATTGACACTGTTACTGCTTTTGATGGCTCTGAGAAGGAATCTTTGAAATATAATGATAAACTTCTCAACGTACAAAATATTTCATTAAGAAAGAATACAACATTCGGTGTTTTTCTTGCTGTTATGCTTCTCTTGGAGTTTGGCAGTTATACTTTAGGTTTTTGGTATGGTCCAAAAATTCTCTATGACAACAAAAAATACGATTTAAAAAAGATAATTACGATTATTTTCCTTATGAGAATTATTTTACTCTTGTCAATTGAGAGGATATGCGCGTATTTAAAGCTTGTTAATGAATCAAAGGTTTCCGCTGCTTCCTTATATCCATTATTGCTGACAAAGCCAAGTTTTAGGGATGGCGAAGTTCTGCCGAGCATCAAGGGAAACATATCATTCGAAAAAGTTTTTTACAAAGTTGATAATGAAATAATGTTAAATGACTTCTCTTTCCAAATCGAAAGCGGAGAGACATTAGCTATTGTTGATATATCTAGAAAATCTACTCATCACATCTTTGAACTACTTCTAAGATATCATTTTCCAAATAATGGTCTTATTAAATTGGATGGATACGATATATCAACCCTTAATTGGAAATGCCTACAAAGAGCTTGCGGATTTTTACCAAAACTTCCGGAGGTATTCTCAGTATCTGTTGAAGAGAATTTAAGGTAAAAGTTTGCTTTTCCTTTTTATTTTTACCAAACGGCCTATAGTCTTTCTACTTTTGTACTTTTACTTATGTTTTCTATTTATCTATTTCATAATATTCTTTGAACCGAAGGAATTTGTAATTTTCCATTGATCATTTCTAATATTCTAAGCTCTTATTGAAAACCCATAGATGTCGCCACAGTATATTTTTTATATTAACATTTTAACCAAAAACTAAAATCACTTTTTCCAATTAGATTCGGCAACGAAAATGCAACGATAGATGAAATAACCGAAGTATGCCGGTTAATGGGTGTTTTTAACTATATAAATAGCCTTCCACGTGGCTTTGAGACAATATTAGATAAGGAAATATATTTACCAGCAATTGAAGCCAAAAAATTAACTTTCGCTAGATTATATTTGAGAAACTCTAAAATTGTCCTTCTTGATCAACCATTCTTTAACTTAAAAAATTCTGAAGCTACGATTATTCAGAAGTTAATTGACGTTATTAGACAAGATAGAACTGTTATTATACTTGAAAATGACTTGGAAAAAGTTAAAGATTTCGAAAGATTAATTATCACATCTGGAGGAGAGATTCTAGAGGAGGGTACTATTGGTGCTTTACAAGCTGACGAAGAGAGTCTATATTCAAGGCTAACTAGTACTGAAGGAGAAAAAGACAATGCAGATGAAGAAGATACTTGTTCCGCTTACGATTCAATGGAAATGTTTGAAGCGGAGGATGGTATCGATAGATCTAACTCGAATTTACATGGACTTTTAAGAAAGAATTATACCAAGACTTTTGCCCTGGTTTGTGGAATATTGTTTTCGTTAATATGTGGGGCTGTCATTCCGACTTTTGCCATTATCTTTTCAAAGATTCTGGGAAATTTAAAAGATATCGAAAAAAGAAACTACTTTTCATACCTTTTCTTAGCTCTTGGAGGAATAGCTTTCATTGCATTTTCACTTAAAGCATATTTCCTTTCTAAATTTAGCATTGCTACTACAGCTCGACTTAGAACTACGTTTCTAAAAGGTCTTCTAAACCAGGACATTGCATATCTAAAAAATCCTAATACGAATATTAAAGACTTGATTGATTTATTAACCGAAGGTATAGAAGACATAGAAAATTTAATCAAGAATAGGATGGGAACATCCTTCCAATCATTGGCAGGTAAAAAAAGTTTAAAATATATATATAGCGTATACTTACCTGGATATTCTCTTTTATTAATAAAAATATCCTATTTGTTTTTTAGCCTTCATATCGGGATTTGTAATAGCATGCATTTGTTCTTGGAAAATTGCCTTACTAGGTCTAGGGTTTCTCATCTTTACCTTTGTTATTCTTCACCTTGAGTCAAGATTAAATTCCTCAATGTTAAACGATAATAAAGCTGGTACGGAAAGCGTTAAATTAATATTAAATGAAACGTTTCAAAATGTAAGGACCGTTACTCAATTTGGAAAGGAAGACTGGATGATTCGAAGATTCAAAGCGGTCTTTGATAAGAATTACTGCTGGAATATTGTTAAATGTATTTTTTTATCTCTTCTACGAAGTCTGGTTTTTTCCCTTATCTTTTTCGCTCTAGCTGCCTCGTTTATCTTATCAGTCAAACTGATAAGAGACGACAAAATAGATTACGTAGACGTCTTTAGGTCGATAACGGCCATCCTCATAGGCATCCTTGTGGCATTATATTTCCAGGCTATTGATCGGTTTAATTACTCAAGGTCAATAGATAATATCAAAAAGCTATTAGCCTTATTGTGCAAAAAACCATCCGCATTGGACGCCCAATCAAAAATAGGAATTCGGCCAGGCTCAGTCTATGGAATCCTATCCTTTCAGGATGTTTGGTTCTCCCATCCCGCTACGCCGGATGTTCCTATCCTGAGAGGAGTAAATTTCAGAGTGAAAAAAGGAGAATCTCTAGCTTTGGTAGGTGACGTTGGAAAAAATACCTGCTTTAGTCTGTTGGAGAGATTTTATGATCCTACAAGGGGATTAATATCATTGGATGATAATCCAATAGAGCGATTGAATACGAAATGGTTGAGGAATCAAATCGGGTTGGTTGATGGAAAAGGATTTATTTTTGATGGCACCATCGCTGATGCCATAGCCTACGGGGATAACTCGAGATTGGTTGATATGGATGAAGTCATTAATGCCGCTAAGAAAGCTAATGTCCATGATTTTATAGCCAACTTACCACACGTGAGTACCCACATATGTTAATAATATTCTACGTCAATAAAATTCTCTTATTGGTTTGATAGGGATATTTTTCAATAATTGGAAAACGAGGATATAAGCTATCTCTGAACCACCTTCAGAGAATATGTATTGCCAGAGCATTACTTAGACGTCCAAAAATATTATTATTGGACAATGCAACATCATCATTAGATATTGAAAGTGAAATTATAGTTCAAGCAGCCCTGGAGGAAGGTCAGCGGAACAGAACGACAATAATCATCTCTGACCGGTTGTCGTCCATCCATAACGCTGATAAAATCGCCGTCATTAAGCAGGGTCGCATCGTCGAAATGGGCGATCACTCTACGTTAATAGACAAAAGCGGAATATATTATTCAATGTATGTTGCCGAAACCAAAACATTTAATTAAACGCTGTTTATTTTAACTTGTGTCAATATACATGTAATATATACTGTCTTTATGTTTTTGTAATCAGATTTTTCAGACAATTAATGATTGTGTTGCGGCTGTAGAATTTAATCATAGAGAATTATATATATATATAAAAATAACAAGTATTTGTTCACTAAAAGAAAGAAATTAGAGAGTAAATGAAAGTTTTCTTAATCTTTTAAGAGTTGACATAAAAGCTTATCAGATAAGAAAATGTCAAAGGAAAAGTGACGCCGCTTACTTGTCTATTATATATTTAATGCAGTCTATAAATAATAATTATATCTATGTTAACTATGCTAAAGAAAGACTTATTCCTGAAGGATAGTGAATTATAGTCACCTGATGTTACTAACGTAATAAAATAATCTTCATTGGGAAAAAATGGTAGGCCTATTAAAAGAAAGCTCCACTATGTTTTAATAATTTAAAAACAAAAATTAGTTTTTCAAAACGTATCTTATTCTTGTTGTAAATATACTTCAAAGTTGAGCACTAGGACTTGGAACTATTAATTTTTCTATTTTAAAAGATATATATTTTTTATGTAAATATGATATACTTTACAAAAAGAACGTTTTTATATTAGAGACGTTGAAGAAAAAAGCTATTAGTATACAAATTTTTAAATAATTCATCTCTTAATGCAGCGTATTCATATCATAGCATTCTACAGAAAAAAAGAATTGTTTTTTATTTTTAAAAACAAAACCTGAATTTATGAAAGAAATAGTAACAAGACGAAATAATAACGTAAATTAGAGGAGAAAGGTTTTTATTCTTTTTTTTCTTTTTTGATAGATAAAAAAAACGTCCATTATTTTTATCAAATTCTGCCATACTATGCATATATAAATAACTATGCGTATAAATATTCTCATTAACTAAGCGAGAGATATAAAGAATAATTTAAATGATTAAAAACGCTCTATTAAATATTGTTACATGTAGCAAAATTTCTAATTTGTAACGTTTAATTATCGTACAAAAAGTGTTAAATAGGATATTTAATATTTAATTAGTGTATGGGTATTAATAAATAGAATTATAATGTATATTAAAAAAAAGAGAGAAAAGTGAACTTTCTTTTATCTTTTTCTTACCTTTAATTAGCCTTTCTTTAAATTCTTTAAACTTTTTAAATATCAATAGAATAATTACATTTGTTTATTAAATATATATATCTATATATATATCTATATATATATTTATATATTTGAAAGAATACTTAATTATTACTTTCATAGTTATGTGTTTGTTCTTTTTTTGGAAGCGTAAAGTATAACGACGAAATATATTCTATTATACCAGTTTACATAGAAGTGTTAAAGAAAAAATAGCTAAATTATCGCTCTTTACCAACAAAGAGAGTTTTTTAATTCAATGAAAAAAATCCATTAATAATCTAAAAGCATTTTCAATTGCTATTGTCTAATAATGATTTTATTCTAAAATCCAACAGAGAATGACTTTTTTAACGACTATTAAAACGAAATCTTTTGGGATTTAAAAGAGAAAAAAAATGAGCTTTCAGGAACAAGTGAAAAACTTTTCGAAATCAAAATTAAAGAAAACTTCAACATCGTTAAAAACTGAAGATGGCCGATTAGTACAATTAAATATTCATGATCTTTCGTTTAAAGTAAGAAATTTAGAAAATAATTTACCAGGATTTATAGTGGATAATAAACCAGATTTAACGATAAATGAAATACTCCCAGGTTTATACTTATGTAAGTATGATTGAATATATTGTAATTATATTTTACAAATAGATAAAATAAGAATGTAAATATCTATTATCGTTGAAAATTTTTTTCTTTTAAAGATAGAAATAATCATATTTTGCCTATAAAACAGGATGAAAGCTTTCTCTCTCTGTATATACTTTCTTTGTATTATTTATTTGTATTTTATAATTTAATAGGTTACGAGAAGGGCGAGGAGGGAGGCTATTCAAATAATGGAATTTGATAGAGAGAGTTATATTTGCAAAACTAATGAACTTTACTTGTAATTATAAAATAAATCTATTAATAACTTTCTTACAGGAAGTAATAAGCTTTCTGCATTTGCTAATGGCAAAAGATGACGTAGACTTACTTATTGATCTACATAAATTATTAACTAATTGTTTCAGACATGTCTAGCAAAGAGTAATGTAAGAAAGTCTTTAATAGTTGTATAATTTTCATTACAAATTATAATAAAGAAAGTTTGCAGTAAATTAAAGAGTCAATAAAATATTAGGAAATGGCATAAGAATCATTTTCATTCATTATGAAAAGTTTAACTAAGCAAATAACTCTTAAAATATTCTTAATTAAAATGTCAATAACCGTTAGGAAAAGTAAAAATTCTTGGAAAACAATATTAATGCATAATATGAAATTCAAATATATTTAAATAATGTTCTTCTCTCCCTCTCCCTCTCTCTATCTCAGTCTATATCTTTATTTATCATATTATTTTTTTTACCTTCATTATACTTTTATATTTTTGTTATATTAATAAAATGTCTTTTTTCTTTATTTAGCTGGTCAAGATGTGGCTAGAGATTTAAGTATCTTAAAATCAAGTGGTATAACACATATACTAAATTTGGCGCCAATAATTCCATGCTCATTTCCGTCTGAATTTGCTTATAAAACCGTAGAACTTCTCGATGTACCGGAAACTGATCTAATTTCCTCTCTGGAGGACTGTCTCAATTTTATTGACTTAGTTTTGAAAGATTCGAAAGGAAACGTTTTGGTTCATTGTAATGCGGGTGTCTCTAGGTTGGTGTTTGAATGAGTTTAAAGGGCCCTTTGTATAAAAATGTCAATCTAATTCTTTTACATATCCTTTTTTCTGTCTGACTGTCTGTCTGTATTTTTCCTGATTCTTTCATACATACCCACTCTACTTCTCTATCTCTAAATATATATATATATATATATATATATATATATTCTTTATTGGTGAATGACTACATTAACCAATCGTCAACTGTCACTTAGCAATACCAAATTATTTGAACCTATTGATGTTTCATTAGATTTAGAATTTGATGCCTGTTTAATGAATTTTCCAGGGCTCCTTCGATAGTCATTGCCTTCGTGATGAGAAAACTAAAGTTGGATTATGACGATGCTCTTAAGTTCGTAAAGGACAAGCGGCCTTGTATACGCCCAAATGACGGTTTTCAGAAGCAATTGAGAGAATTGGGGAAAACTGTTTAAATTCTTTATCTTCTATATAATCTGATTATTTATATAATACATAATTTGAATGAATGAAAAACTATCAACTCGATTAATGTTTTGTTGATAAAACTAGAAATTGGTTTATTTTCTCTCTTATTTTTTACAATGACATATGTTTGCATAGCATTGATGTAGATTTGTAACAATTAGTTACAGAGTTGTAATTACTTGTCAAATTAAACAAGGTAGGTGAATAAACTTTTATTCTATAATCTAAAAGTTGTACTTTGTAATAGAGAAGCTTTTAAATTAAAAATGCATGTAAACCCTTTTTCATCTGTCTTCCTTTTTTTTATCTAGTTTTTTCTACATTACACTTTACTCTAAGCTTTGTCTCTTGTAAATTTAGTAAGTTGGATGAACTGTACTAGATTTTGGATTATTTTGCATATTTTTTTTCTTACTTTTGTCTCCTTTTTTGGATGTTTTATTTATTTACTTTACATAAGAAATTATCCCCTGGACTAGATAGTTTTATGTTACATTAAAACCCTATTACAAGAAATATAATAAGACTAGAAAAAGCATCAAACAATAGCTGGAAACATTGGTTGATGACTCGAATCTTTAGGGAAGAGAATTTAGCCTTTCTATCTAGGTATGAAAGCATCAAAAGCAAAATCATCTTCCTTTTTTGTCTCAAATAGCGCAAAATAATTCTTTCTTGCTTACTCATTGCGATACATTCATAAACTATTTTATTCTCTTATTACACCTAACAAAACATCTAATAATAATTGTATAAACAACAATAGAAAATTAGGTAATAAAGTTATATTAAGAAGTTTTTACATGGAAAAGAGATATTGGATCAAGGTTGCCAAGTGATAAGATAAAGGTTATTATAAATGTATCACAATTTCGTACTTTAGATAAAAGGACGAAGGCAAAAAGGAAAGGAAAGACAGAAAATACCGAGTAATGCGAAAGGATGTTTTGACAAATAACTACTATAAATATATGTCTATATATATATATATTTATATGTACACTTACATTACGTGCGTCTTGCAAAAGTAGTTATGACAAAATCTTTGATGAAACTGGTTTCTTCTTCTTTTTTTTCTAACTCAAATAGTGTGTTATTAAATTTTTTACATCAAAGAATCGGCAACTTCAAACCGACAAACCTAAAAATTTTGTTACATATTAGAATTTTTAACATACCATCTCTCTTTCGTTTAAATATGATATTATCAATATTTATGGTAGGCTGATATTGACAATCTATCTTACTCTATATCCCCCTTTACTATAACCTGGCAAAGTGGTTGGGTTAAAAGGAATGGGGGAGTGGTTCCTAAAAAGTAGCGTGTAAAGAAGGGAATATGGGATGAAGAAAATAGCTCAAATTTAAAAGAGTAATATTTTATTAAATTTAGATCATTCTTAAAGGAGCAATGTAGACGAAATACCACACTGCAACATGTATCTTATTTTCATCTTTTTCAGTAAAATACAATAATCTTTTCTATTTCTCTCTTCCTCTTCTATTTTTAAACCAATAAACAAAAAAAATGCTATATTTAAAAGAAACCTAATGAATCATTATTTATTAAAGCCAAATGTTAAAAATTTTCTCTCTTATCCAATGAACGCCTACTCAAATATCAATATTGAATGACAGGCGTTATATAGACTCGTGAAAATTTAAATATTTCTTTTTAAATAGCCAAGTTTTCTTTGATGTTTTTAGAATATTCACGTATTTAAAGATTCAGTAGGAAGTAAGTAATTTCTACTTTTTTCCGGTTTGAAGACAATATTAAAACGTTTATATAAAAGCTAATTTAACTTAATAACCCTTAATTAAGAAATTGTGTACCGTCTAAATAACGTTATTTTAAAAAATGTACTATTCGTTTTCGTTTGTTATGAAGCTTTTCAATCCCATATGAGATAAAAGTCCTTCTCTGCATACTGATATCTGGAGGCTGGTTAAACATGTTGTATAGTGTGATAAAACTTTGCGCATATATAACCTAAAGATGAGGGAGTAGTTAAGAGTATGGCTGTTTAAGGCCAAAAAGAAAAGGAATTAGTTCGCCCACAACGGGTCACTGCCTTCTTTACTTAATCTCTCTTCTTTTACATTTTTCATTAATAAAACCCTATTTACTTTTCTTTGAACGAACAAATAAATTGCTTATTAGACAAGGTTTCCTCTTACAAACACTTTCTGATTAATTAATAACCACGCTCTTTAGATTTCATTCAAATAAGAAAAATAGAATATAAAACAATCGATCGCTTAAATTTGTATACCTTTTTAAATTATTCACTTTAATTATGATATTTTCATTTATTATTCTATTAAAATACCATTGAGATATTTATCAATTAATTTAATATTTATTCTTTTATAACAATCTACAAATCTTGAAATTTCCTATCAATTGAGCTGTCTATTACAAAATTTCATGGAACAGGAGAAAAGGAAGAGAAGGAAAAATGAAAAGAAAAGTAAACATTTATGGTAGGAATGGAAAAAAATGGAAATGGATAAGAAAGAAGATATACAGATGAATATGAAAAAAAATTCATTATGTAAATTACACAATGTAACTTTGATATTCATAGGAAAAATTCCATTCTTGTTACTTTTAGTAGAAGACTACATATGTATATAAAAATAATGCAAATAGTGCAACCTTAGATTCTAATCCTATGTGAAGTTATAAAAAGAATAATAGTATTGAATTACAAGGTCACAAAGTCCTACCATGCGACCTTGATTATTATTTTGTGTTATCAAAAAAATTGAAGTGAATAATACAAATAAGAGAATGAAGAGGAAGATTAGGGAGAAATTCTGTGCATGCATATACTGTATATACAGCATATACTATTTATAGAATTTATATAGTATATAAAAAAAGTTCATTATCCTTTAATTAGAAAATATAAGCTTTAGTTATTTATTAAATAAAACTTATCTTGTATTTAAACTTTTACTAAAACAGATTAGTATATTCACTTACTTTAAACTCGATCTATTAAAAACAATGTCAGAGTTATAGATGATTCTTGTTAAAGGTTATAGACATTATCTCTATGTTTAAGAATATAGTATATACACTACTTATATATCACTGTATATATTTTTATGTCATATGTACATGGAATACTATGTATAAAATGTATGTTATTTCCTATTTTAAGACATTTTACTGCTTGGATAGATAAAAGGGAAAAAAACTAGAAATATACCTTTTTTTATATTTTTCACCTATTTAAATAGGTACTTTACAAGTAACGCTTATATTAATCGTCAAAAATTTACTCTTTATACTAAACAATTAGACGTCAATGGTACAATTAACTTTAATAGGTTATAAAAAGGAATTATAAGTCGAAATATGACAAATCGATTTCCGCAACGAGAAAATAAGTAGGAGAAGAATCTGTAAATTGTCAAATATATTGTCCTAATTTTTGGATATACCATATAAAGCTTCAACTTTCATATGTTGTTAACTTTCACTTGTTTTATAACTGTTATTTTATGTGTAACGATGAATTCTCATTGGACGAATAAATAATCAAATATAGTTTATTTTAATATGTAACAGTTATGGGATAATTTAAATCTTAAATTTCTAAACAAAGTCGTAAAAAAAAGATGTCTTAGCTTACTTTAGTATATAAATATAGTGATGTGATTCTTACTATTGGAGGGTTTTGTTCTTTGAGATCTCCTCAGATGTCTAAAATCGTATAACTAACCTGTTTATAGTCGTAATGTGCAAATATATACCATTATCTTATTGAAAAGAAGCAAAAATGAGCAAAGAACAATAATGAATAATTTTACAACGAACTGACCATCAAAAACAGGAAATACTTCAATTGTCCTGCAACTGTAGTAAATGTTTGCAATACTTATTAATAACCTCTTTATATTTATATAAATGAACAGAGTGTACATAAAAATGGAAAGTAGTCCGTTAAAAAGCCCTACTTTACATTGCCAAGTAAGAGAACAGTGCAAATATAGTATATATAAAGTCGTTGAGTAGTAGAGACTTAATAAGTAACTTTGCTAGTTTTATTGAGTTGTAAATTATAGAAAAAGGGATAATTCTATATTTATATATATACAGTATATACAGTATATATATATATATATATATATATATGTATATACAGTAAATATATTGTATATAGGTTATATGTTATAGACGTGTATACAATAAGAAAAGTATCGAACCGTTCCGCCATAATTTACTGTTGCCAAAGGATAGTTTGCTCACACACACCAGAACTAATAAATCCTTTTTTTTATATTTATTTCCTCAGTTTGACCTTACTAACTGAAATTTTTTATTCCTTTTATTTTTCTATTTATCCTTCTATTATCATCTTAACCCGTTCTCTTTTTTCTTTCTCTTCAAATTTTACTATGTGTATTGTTTTTCTATCTCTTTTTCTTACTCCCGTTTTGTCTCACCCTCTGCTTTCCCTTTCTCTTTCCCTTTCTCCTGCCAACTATCAAAAGGGAATGATTTACGAGTATTGACTTTATTCGATCCGCTAGGACTTTTTTTTTGATAGGAACCAAGCGTTACATGACGGAAAGTTAACAACCAAGAGATTTATCTATTGAAACATATCTGTATATATATTGTATATATTAATATATATATATATATATAACTGTGTTTAACCTCTTTCTAGTCCTTTAAACGTCACTTAAAAATTCACAAGATTACAAACATGTTCTGTATGTTAAAGAGCCCACTAGGCTTAATTGAATCAAGTTTATTTGCAGGAAGAAGAAAGATATAAAGAATTTTAGTAATGCTATTATTTACTATTTCAATAAAGAAAACATTACATCTTTATAGTATTTAATATCCGTTTAATTTATTAAGTTAATTTATTTAAAAAGATTCTTAACAGCATTTAAAAAGCAAATATATAATTTAAATATATTCTTTATACCTAACCGTAAAGGCAGACATTATTATTAATAGCTAGCCTTTCATCTTGTATTTTTTACATATATATATATAATATGATCTAAAGAAGACATGTTAATAAAAAGTAGGGAAAGGAGGGAGGGGGGCGAGAGGGGAAAAAAAGATAATAAAAAAAAAAGAATGCGGATACGAATCAATTTATTCGTTCGGAAAACTTACCCAATTGTTCTATATACACCGTAATTTCTTTCTTTTCTTTATTGTTTTATGTATTAAATCCAATTTACTATTTTTTATAGAGTTAACGTACTTTCATTTTGTATATTATTGTTTTGTTTTTGTTTTTTTATAAAAACAAGAAATTAAATAATAAATGTCCTTGTAAATATTTTTTTTGTCTTTACTTTCCTTGTCCTAAAATAAAAAAAAAAGTTTACAGTTGGTAAGTCGAGCATTATTCTTCACTGGTCATTGCATTTCCTGAGATTTATAGAAGAGGATTATAGTCATGCTCAGTTCCACATTAATAGTTTTTTGTTGTGAAAAAAAAATCGATTCACTCTATTTTTCATCTTTTTTTTGCTCTGTTTAACAAAAACAACTAAAAATTTATAGAAATAATAAACTCCTGTATTCATAAATCTTTAATTCTTCTCATTTATTTATCATCTTCAATGTAGAAAATGATAATGAAAGGAAAAGTCATTTTTAACAGATTCCCTACTTTCTATATAAAATATTTTTTTCTAAAAATGGGAGAAAAAAAAGGAAATTGTTCACTTAGGCGTAAGAAACAAAATGGATTACAAACAAACACACTTTATTCCAAGATTTAATCTACTTTTTGGCTACTTTTTTTCCCCAGTATCCAAACAGGAAATAAAAGTTGACGTATAACAAAATATAAGTATGAAGAGGATAGATAGATGGGAGAATGAGAAAGATTGTGAAAAAATAAAGGGGAAATGAAGAGACAAAAAGTAAAATTGTAGGAAAAGAGTAAGATATTAAGTTATTAATTATAAGATAAAAATTGCAAATATAGGTTTAAGATGGAAAATAAACGAAAAAAATACTATAAATAGCTAGATACTATATATGTAAACTATACTATGTATAGTTACTAGTCTTGGCGAAATTTATGTACTATGGATGGAATGTACTAGATTTAGTATTTAAAGAAAAATGGGAAAGAGGAGAAACGTATAATAAAAGAAAAGTTGAATTATTAAGAAGCGGAGGTGTATATTTGTTAATTAGTTAAACAAAGCTCTTAAATATGTAATAGTAGAATAATGTATTTGTGTAACAGTATTTCAAAGCCAATCAACTAATGCAATGTACTAGTTTTATAATATTTCTTCTTTCCCAACTCAAATTTCTCTATTTAGCTATAATTCTATTTTTAGATCTATAAATAATTGTTTTAATATAAATCTATTAAAGAGAGAAATATAGAATTTTTATAACTCGAATATTTTTCTAAACAATTAACTATTTATATAAAGTTGAATTTACTAAGTTTTCTTATATTATGCTATTTTATTAAATCAAAGGGAAAAATTGATGTGATATAAAGGTTATTTCGACGAGTAATATTATGTATTTATTTAATTATTATTATTATCTTGCTCCCTCTTCCTCTTCCTCTTCCTCATGCTCTTCTTCTTCTTTTTTCCACTGATTGTTTACTTTCGTTGAAAAAGTTAAAACAAAAAAGACATAACTTCCTCTCTTCCTCTTTTCTTTTTTATATATATTTTAAGTACAATAATACTTTACTCTTTACTTACAATTTGACAGCTTTGAAAGATTAGAGGAAAGATAGTAGTCATTTTAGATGAGGAACTTCAATAGAATGACTACTTTTGTAAAGAGTACTTGACAAACAAAAGGATAAAAAACGGCTGCTTGAACAGCTGGTTTACGCTGTGTGGTTATGGTAGGTAGGCTTTAAAAAGAGAAATTGTGGGAAAACAGAGGATAATATTCTAATAGGTTAGGAATAGAAGAATTATGTGTAAAAAATGACGATTTATGTTATTCGATCTTTATGACGTGTCCATCAGTTTAATCTAGGGAATTTAAATTAAAGCGAATACTCTATAAAAAAAACTGATCTGTATGCGATAACGAAAAACTCTAGGTCCTTGATGTCACGCTTTTCCGATTAATGATAGTTGTTGGAACATTTCCAACAGCCTAATTTAGACGCCTCATCCGGCTAGTTTCACCCCTTAATCCCACAACGTCCCTAATAGCTAGTCTATGTATTTCAACTTGTTTTTTTTAAAATAACCTATTCTATTGAATTCTCTTGAAAGATTGATAAATTATCTAATGTCCAAATACATAGATTTTAAAATGGCGGGTGTTATTGTTAACAGAGATCAACAAATGAGAGAAAAAAAGTGGGAAATTTTTTTGTTTTCTTCTTTTTGTATTCTTACGGTTTTCTTTTGTCTTTAATTAAATATAAGGAAAAACAAGCTGCTTACGTCGCTTTACGAAATTTCAAGTAAAGTGGGTGATTTCCTTCAAGTGAAAAAAAAACAAAATCGTTTAATCTTTCGTCTCTCTTTAATTCTTTCTCTATTTCTTTCTCGTTGTATCGATCAAATAATTTATACAAGATTATTTAAATGGTCAATTAACCTGTTTTATCTTCTTTCCTTCCTTTATCCTCGTCTCTTCGTTGACTTTTTTTTGTCATTTTAATAGCTAAAACAATTTATTATAAGTAAAAAAAAAAGGTTAATCAATTATATGAAAATGTAATAAAAGAATATAGGATAAAAAAACAATAGTGATATAATAATAATTATTATAATAGCTGGAAAACCTTTTACTTTTCTTCTACAAGATATTATTTGATTAAAGTAGAAATATATCGAAGAATATCTTAAAATGATGATATATTTCCCTAGAAAGAGTAAGAAGAGTGGTTGGAAAAGAATAGCACCCTCAAGTAAAAACAAAATATATATATATCATACAGTAAGTTACAGCTTCTATAAGGAGAAAAAAAACACTTTTTTTTTCGCTGATCTTGCCCTCTTTTGTAGTTTTAACTTTAACCTTCCACTAGGCAATTTGTACGCATGAGAAGGGGAGAAAAGTGCGATATCCACTAGTCAAATAGATATTTGTTTACATGATTTTTTTTTCCTTTTTCTATATTATACGCTTTCTTTTCAATTTTATACATTTTCAACTAATTGTTGACCTAAATATTAACTATTTAATAATAGACGCCATTGGTTTTGCGTTTCTTTTTTAATTAATGAAGTTAATATTTATTTGTTCAATATCCATTCGATATGATTATATTTTTTACTGAAAAATATCAATTTAAAATTGTGTATTGTAAACTAAAACGCTTCTTCTCTTTGCCTAAGAAAAATGTCTATAATATGCACTATATATACTATTTTTACAAATTATCAATAGGTATGTTATAAACTATATGATTTGTAAATTTTCTCTGTTTTCTTTACCTAATACTTTTAAAAATCAAATTATAACGTGAAACTGAAGAGGTGAAAGGATTGGAAAAAGTGTGAAGTGGGTGGAATAGGAGAGCTGCGGGATTATATTATACAGTATATAAACACTTGAAGGTAAGAGAGATAGAATGATAGATAGATAGATGGATAGATCGGCGGCGGAGAAAAGCATATTATAGAAAGTATGAAAAGAGAAACGCTTACAACTTTATACAGATACAATGAGATAGGAAGAGAGGCTTCTTTTTCTATATCCCCATCAAAGTCTACCTAGCTTATTACTACAAGTGTAAATTTACTATGAATTGGTCAGAAGGCCTATACTCAAAACGAATAATATCTGATAATAAATGATAAAGATTTTAATAAATTATGCATAAACTAAGCATTTGTACGTAAAAGGAAAATATTACAGGTTTTCAAATGCATCTATCAACGCTAGACGTCGCTGTTCTAGACATCAACTGTCTCATTCGTCGAAATGGAGGCTAACATTAACACCAATAATTCTGCCAACTGGATTCAATTATGTACTACAAGAGAAGTGGATACAATTCACAGGAGTGACAATGACAAGTTATACCTTGAAGCCGAAAAGTTTGTTGACAAACTTATACCGACTATATGTCTTTTCGGAATTGTTGGAAATCTCTTGAATATAATTGTATTAACTCGGAAGCAACTGCAAAGTGTTATGGATCGACTGGAAAAATCAGCCCACGATGGACTTTTAGCTTTATCCGTTAGCGATCTATGCTATTGTTTGTCAAGTTTCCCATTATATTTACAAACTGATTCCAATAAGTATACGCATATGTTTATGGAAAATTCGTTCATGGTTTACTATTCAATGTACAAAGGTTACGTATTCAATGTGTTTATGATGTGCAGTGCCTGGCTGACTATTGTTATGGCTGCAAGTAGGTATGTTGCAGTTTGTCACGCTTTACAAGCGAGAAGAGTAATCTCCGTAAAGTGTACAAGAATAGCCATCATACTGTGTTTCGTTGTGTCATCGGTTTTCAATACTCCAGATTTATTCGGTGTTAAACGATACAAATGTCATCCACCAATTAACTGTACATGTTATTTTGTTGATTATCCTAATCCTTTCGGAAGCAAAATGATCCATAAAGCATATATTTACCTTCAGCCTATCTTAATTACTTTTATACCTCTATGTATTTTGTTAGTGTGTAATATCTTTCTACTTATAGAATTAAAAAGATCAGCAAGAATGAGGCGTCTACACGTCATACAAGCAACATCTTCGACTCCTAGGTTGAGAGTAACCTTGACTTTAATCTCTATTATTTTGCTCTTTATTTGTTTCGTCTTTCCTTCGGAAGTTTTTAAATTTTTGAAATCTGAACCTCAAGTGCATCAAAAGTTCGATAATTCAAAACATATTGCCAATACTATATGTAATGGGATGGTGGCCGTCAATTTCTCCGCAAACTTCTTCCTCTACTGTTTTGTTAATCCAAACTTTAGGAGTACAATGAGAAACATGCTATGCGGTAGATTAAAGCAGAGTAACGGAATTTATAGTGGAGTTGGTGGTCATACAATAATAGCCACTTCAATGACAGAAGTAAATGCCATAGGTATAAGAAAAGTAAAAGGAAGCGGAGGGATAGGAGGAGGTGGAGGAGTAGCAGGAGGAGGAGGAGGGGGAGGAGGAAGTGATAAATGTGAAATGACACTATTGCCCAAGAGTCTCTAAAGAAGATTAAAAAAAATTAAAAATAACTTTTTCAAATAAACAAACAAACTGTATGAGAAGAACAGAAAAGTTATGCTTTGTATAACAAACTATTAGTATATATTTATATATATTTTGTTCGTTTTTCTCGTTGTCCGGTGATGCAGAAGCAATGTATAATGAACAGTATTTTTTTCCGTTCTCTTTTTATACAAAACAATATACAAATGTATAAAATTTTCATTCAAATCTATGCAATTTATTGCATAAACACTAATATATATATATATATATATATAAATATATATCATTCTTGGAAGCTAAATAAGATTAACTAACTAATTTAGGTAGAAATCAAAATGGCACAAATTCTTACGAAAGAGGCTGGAAAGGGAGAACATCATTAATAGTAATATCCTATTAAAAAGCTGTGTTTCTCGAGGCTTTCTTGAGGATTTACTCTCTTCAATTTCACACCTTTTCATTTCCGTTTTTTCTATAAATATACTACATAACAGATATATATATATACATATACTGTTTATATATACCGTATATAGTATATACGTATGCGTGTGTTTCCTACAATCTCCTTTCATGGACTAGAGTGTATACATATTAACTTTCTTTCATCATTTTATTTAGGTCATTATTATTTTATTTAGGAAAAATCTACGAGAGGACAATATAAAACAAATGATGCTAGCTGCGAATGACATTTGTAATTGATTTGCCTCTAAATTCCAACTTATCGATTCATTTCAGTTCCTCTGTCAAACTAATAACTATCGACGGACGGTAAGATTTAAATGATTTATCACTATACTTTCTTTTGTCTTCAAAACAAATTACTGGCCTTCTTCCTTATCTTTCCACTACAATTTTTACGATGTGGATCGCTTTCGGTAGTTGTTCTCATTAGCCCTTCAATTCTCCACCAACTAATAATGAAATTGCAACCGAGATCAACAAGATCCTTTCATTCCATTTGAACCTGCCGAAACCCCATCATCCAGTTTAACTTGCACGAAGAATCTACTAATAAGAGCACAAGAGAAGCGTTCTCTGTTGCACTTGCCAAGAAAAAGGATCTCCTTGTATTGTCTTAATATATGAAAGGATGATAGAAAAGACAAAAAAGATCATGTCTATTCTTTTCGCTCTTTAGAGTAAAAAAGAAAAAATGAGGAATTTATACTGTAAAAACTATTTATTTCATAAGGGAATTTCTTTTTACCATTTTCCCTATTAGCATTTTATATCGCTTAAAGGAATTTCCTTCAGAAAAAGCCCCAATATTGTTTAAGGGAATCCGCTAAAATTGGAAAAAGGAGAGTGTTTTAAGAAATTTCTTCTTTCCAAATATATATATATTTTATATAAATATATACTTTACTCCTTACTTATGCATTTATTATAGTTAAGCCCCTGGAATAAAGGCGAAATAAAAGAGTGGTTCCTGTCTAAAAATAGCCCGTTAAGCCTAAATCTATGTGATTACAACCTAGAAAATTGTATTTATAACCTCTTAAAAAATCTCTGACACTATTTACCTTTTCATTAACTTTTTCAACATTATTTTTACCGCCCACTCGTTGATGGAACACTTCAGTACTCATAAAGATTTTTCGCCATGTTAACACGCTGTATACAAAGTATATATATATCCATAAATAAATATATGTACAATGTACTCTCACATAATAAGCAACAAGTTTTTATAAATGTATGCATTAACTCGTTTACAAACTTGCTTATGCATATAATTTTATTAAAAATCATGTTTTAAAAAAAGAACCTTTTGTTTGTTTATGCAAATATATCTTAGCAGTCATGTCTATTGAATATGGATAGAACACGCTTCAATATACAAAAGCCATTTCTATTAGCTTTTGTTCATCTTTATTTTACTGTTTTGCTATGTATATTACTATATTCTTTAAAAAATTACACTAGACTTCTTTCTTTTACATTTCTTTCTCCTCCTCTTGCCCTCTCTTTATTAGCCCTCTACATCTTCTTTCTTTCTTTCTCCCTCTCTCTCTCTCTCTCTCTCTCTCTCTTACACACACACACACACACACGCTCACCCTTCATTTACTCATTCTCTCTTCTGTTTCTTTAAACTCTCCGATATTTTTTCAGAATTATAGAGGTACAAGCCTATAATCTCCTAAATATCTCTCCATCTTCGAATATTCAGTATTTATAAACTGTAACATAAATTTTATATAGAAACGTTACTTTAATAACGTCTTTACATAGACATAGAAACTATATGAAGAATACAATATATAAAACCTATATACACATATATATTATATATTTTTAATATTGCTTTATGAATCAACCTTAGTAATGAATTAATTATTTATTAAATCGATATAAAGAGTAAAACGTGGTTTATATTGCATATTGGATATGGTTAATGGGTTTTTTAAAGAAAATATCAACAAGAAAAACCTTTTTTTGTCAAACTACTTAAATCTACATAACATTTGTCCTGAGGTTCCTTAGGAATCAACTCTTTATAGGTTCTTGTTCGTGAATTTACCCTACGTGTTTTTTCCTTTTCCTTTTTCCCAAAATCTCCTTCATCTCTCTCTCTTTTCTCTCTCTCTCTCTCTCTCTCTCTCTCTCTCTCTCTCTCTCTCTCTCTCTCTCTCTCTCTCTCTCAGACACACACACACTCTCTCACTCTCTCACTCTTTCATATGTAGTTTAATCTCCTGCTTACCATAGCAAAAATTTGTTTTTCTGATACTCGACCAATATCTAGTTCTTTCTAGGAACCTCGATTAAAAGAGCCTTAATCTTTACAACTTATACCTAATTCTCTTAAGTCAGAGCACGCTATATTTAGTTTGATAATTTCCTATATTTATTTTTTTTTGTCATAATATCTTACAAACTAGACCCATTGAAAAGGAGTATAATAAAAATTTTAACCTTGGCCGACTTAGACCATAATCTTTGGTAAATTGACCAACTCACATCCTATTAAATGTAAGTAAAGCTTGCTTAAATAAGTCTTAGGTATTGTGCGTATGCAGTACATTCAGTAAGTATCCTATATATAGCTTCCTATAATAATTCATTATTGCTTATTTTCAGTTTTAATAATTTGTATTCATTTTAAATTTAATTATTGTATAGAATTGACGACTCTCCATATTCAGACAGCTGCTTACGCCTTCAGTATGACGTAAGATATCTGTCTAAGTCATCAATATTTCATGCTAAAGAGGAATTGACGTATGAAGTGAACTCATGGGGACATTAAAATGTACGTATAGGCCTATCGAAGGTTACTAAATCTATCTTCATCATTTAATGTGTTCCAAATGCGGCTACTATGACAGAGCTAAGCATATTCTGTAATTAATTGTGATTATATTGAACATTTGCACGTCAATTTTTATAATCACAAATCAAAAAAAGATTTATCAACTCCTGCCAAACTCTCCTTCCTGTAGTTCTTTTTTTTTTATTTGTTTATTTTCTTGTATTTACTTTATACATTTATAATGTTGGCTATGAATGTCATAATTAATTTTTTCCTTTCCTCCCCCCTTTTCTTATCATCCTTACGCACACATACATACTTGAGAAAACTATCACGTTAACTCTCCCTCTCTTTCCCCCCCTCTCTCTCTATCTCTCTCTATCTCTCTCTCTTTCTCTTTCTATCTCTCCATCCTCACCTTCCTTCACTTGACCACACTCTGACCTCTTTTCTTTATCACTTGTGACGCCATCTGTGGGCATCTATCTGGAAAACAAGCTTAAACCTGAGAACAAAGAGACCAATGTAGATAAAAGAATTAAGTAATACTTTTAGTCTTCTCTATGTTATACTTATTGGAAGATGAACATTATTATAAGAATCTTATTGGTAATGATTGCAGAATTCTTTAACGTTTTTACACATTATCTGCTGCAAATTTAAACAAATTACATTTTGCTATTATTTATTATTTATATTAATTGTAGACTAGGTCGCATTGAGATTCATTAAGTAGATATTAGATACAGTTAATCAACTCTACATAATAACAACAAGAAAATACTTTTTGCAATTTTTGTATAAGTGCTATGTACTCTTTGTCTTACACATAGTTTATTAATCAATCAAAAAGTCATAGTTTCCTACTATTACGGGTACATTGAAGTTAACTTGGTAAATAAATGATAATTTTATTTTTACGAACCAGAATGACAAGTTTACACTTGAAAAACGTCAACCTAATCATCTATAAATAGAATGGGCTTTTAGAATATCCGAAAGATGGCGCTGTGTTTAGCTCACTGAGCTCAACATGCAAATCAACCACGAAGTAGACTGCACACTAAACGGCGAAATATAGACCGCTCACTGACACCAGAAAAGCATACTTACCTGGCAGGGGGAATCGCCGCGATCATGAAGGCGGCTTCCTCAGACTGAGGCCTTTCCATTGCACTCCGGATTGGTTGACGTCTGCGATCATCTCACATTGAGATGACTCGACTGTACAATTTTTGTTAGTGGGAGATCAGCGTTCGCGCGGTCTCCTTAAAATTAATAGTAAAACCGTCGGACAGGACAGAGCAGCACGTTCTCATGGCGTGCAGAGTTATTTTGCTCATTAGCCTTTCTACGTTCTTGTGATCTGCAATTTCTGGTTAACAAGTAAAGCGTGTCATGATTAGCGAAGCAACAAAGAAAAGGAGTCTGGACATTTTTTCATAATCCAATAAGAAGCGAGCACTGAAATATCCACTTCAGCTGGTGTTCACAAAGGATGTGTTATGTATAGCGTAGTTTTAATGTTAAAAAGTTAGGGTAAACGATAATTGAATCCTGTATCACGTAGGTATCTAAAGAACAAAAGGTAAGATATATTTGTTAATTCATCAGTAGCTTTCAATTTTTCAGATATTGTCTCGCATTATAAGAACAATTAATGAGCGATATTCAGGTTTTATCTATCTTTTCCTTTAGAACATTTCGTTAATTTCACTTTCCTCTTGTAAAGATGAATATATAATTAAGTACTTATGGTGTATTCAGAACACGATTTTCGGAGCGTTTACCTTCATTAGTTCCATTAAAAAGCTTAGTTGGAGGTCTTATCATAAAATAGAACGGCCTTATGATCGAAACTCTTTGAAGAAATGACATTTCCTTATGAAATTTACTAATGGATTAGTTACTTAAAAGAAATCCACTTGGGCCTATGATATTTTATTTAAGTTATTTAATTTCC